TGGTTGATGACATAAGCAGCTACAGGTATAGCATCCATCCAAAACCTTTTTGGAACATTCATTTGTAACATCATCTCTCAAGCTACCTCAAGAAGGTGTTTGTTTTTTCCTTTGGCAACACCATTTTGTTGCAGTGTTCCTGCGCATGAGCTCCTATGAATAGATCCATGGGAGGCAAAGAACTCATTAAGCTCACCATGGAAGAATTCCTTGGCATTATCTAATTGAAAGTTCTGAATTTCAACATCGAATTGTGTAAACACCATCCACTGGAAGTCTTGCATGATCTTTGAAACTTCATCTCTGCTACGCATCGGGAATATCCATGTATAGCGAGAGAAATCATCGGTCAAAGTTATAAAGCACTTATACCCACCCTCAGAGATTATAGTAGTAGGCCCCCATACATCAGAATACACAATATGAAAAGGAAAACTGGATCTTAATTGAACAAAAGGTTGTTTTACATTGTTTGTTCAACTGACATGTTTGACATTGAAAATCGGACACTAACAAGACTTATATAAAAATGGAAACAAAGACTTCACTATTTCAAAAGAAACATGACCTAACCGACTATGCCACAAAAACATTTGACTCTTATTTGACTGATTATATGACTCTGAGGACGACACCGAGAGTCCAACTTTGTTGTTGAGAATATAGAGACCATCCATTAGGCTTCCTCTACCAATCGTCCTCTCAGAAGTTAGATCCTGAAAAACACATGAACCAGGAAAAAAGGTTACACTACAGTTTAAAGAGTTTGTCATGCTATTGATTGAAAGCAAATTTATAGGAAGTTGAGGAACATGCAACACACTATTTAGGTTAAGGCCATGGGGAAGGGATATTGATCCTTGGCCTACAATGGAGGAGAATGATCCATCTACAAGCCTCACTTTATCCCTTCCTGACAAAAGGCTATAAATCTGAAATAAATTTGGCTTACCAATCATGTGGTTAGAGGCCCCTGAGTCAATGATCCAAGGGGAATCAGTGGTAGTGGTGACATGGAATGCAAAAGCCGCATTACCTGATGAAGATGCAAATAAAGTAGGAGTACCAGTAACTGAACTATCCATGTGTCGCAAAGCCCTACCATATGACTCCAAGTGATCTCTGAAGGAACTCATGATATCTTCCTTGGGGTCAAAACTAGTAAAGTGGTCCCGAGTAGTACCAACAACCTGAGTATCTTGGGTTGCCACATGTGCTGCATTATGCGTTGTATTCGGCTTCTTCTGACCTTGCACATTACCCTGTTCTTGGTTCTTCACTGCTCAATTAGGCTTCCCGTGAATTTCCCAACATGTGTCACGTGTATGTCGGGAGCACCGACAGTGGGTACAAAACTTGTCTTTATCATCAGCCTTCTTGGAGTCACTTTTTTTCCCCATATTGTTATTACCCATGCAGCCAAGGCTACCTATTGCTCCCCTCAATTGTAACCATCACACTCCGCCTACTTTCTTCAAATTGAACAAGGGCATATACCTCTTGAACCGAAGGCAACTCTTTGCTTCCTAAGATCTGAACTCTCAAGGATTCATAAGTAGGGTTCAGTCCCAACAAGAAAGCAAACACCCGCTGCTGAGAAACCAGCTTCTTATGGGCCTTATCATCATCATCATGTTTCCACTCTATAGCCTGATAGTGATCCAATTCTTTCCATACGGAAGTAAGGGCTGAATAATAGGCAGACAAACTACGATTTCCCTGTTTATAGGTTGAGGATTTAGCTTGCAACTGGTAAATTTTGGCATAATGCCTTTGCTCAGAATAGGTGGTTTTGGCCTGTTCCCAAATCTCACTAGCGGTGTCTACCCACATAAAATTCTTTTTTCACCTCGGGTTCCATGGCTGCAAGGAGCCAAGACATCACCATACTGTTTTCTTGATCCCACCTATCATGTTCAGCTATCTCACATTTGGGTTCTTTCACTCAGCCATTTATGTAACCAGCTTTTCCCCTGTTGTTACATAAGTTTCACACTTTTAGCCCACTCCAGGTAGTTCAGGCCATTTAAAAGGGTAATTGGCATGGGAAACATCATGTTTTCACCCCCCCCATACCAGTTGTACTACGAGTTGGTGTAACTCCAGATGATGTTGAATCATAATTTGTCATTGAAAAAAAAGGGTCACAAATATACCAAACCAGATCCCACACAAACAGAATGCTAAACTCCCAAGAATTTTCACTTCCGGAAAGAGAAAAAATACTGCTGAAACAGTCCAGCAATAGGTCGGCCCTTAGAATAGCCCAGTAATCAGTCCAACAACTAGTCTACTAACAGGCTACTGAAAACAATCCATTAGCAGCAATAGTTCGGCCACAAGGAGTCATTAACAAGGCCTACTAACAGTTCAACAACCGCACATGATTAAAAAAAAAGAAACACATACCCCTGTCCAGCATGGAGATGTAAACCTCAAAACCACGGCCTTCACAGCTCTTCACAACATAGCCCACAGAGAAAAAATGGGGCACATACCCCTGTCCAGCACTTGTACGAAGGTGCAAGAGATCAAGAAAAAGAACCCAAAAAATATTTTTCACAGCATCGGAAAATCCAGAAAATACTTTCCATAGCAGTGAACTAAGAGAGGAGGGTCATTCCAGCATCGCCTCTCCTCTATTATGGTTTCCTTGGTGTTACGACCAAAGAAGAACCCAAAGAACAACAGCAGCAAGAACTTTGATCAATCCGATTAGAATTCTTGGTCTTCCACATCCAAGAAATCAAGAGAGAAAAAAAGGACTGAGATTCAGATGAGAAAAAAAATTTCGAGCCCCAAAATTATTGCTCTGATACCATGTGTTCTTTCCTAAGAGAGAGAGAGAAGAGAAGAGAGAGGAGAAGAGAAGAGAGAGAGGTTCGATTGAGAACCAAAGACGAGCTGGCCGGCTACCAGCTTGTTATTTATATTCTCTTAACATAATAAGATCAGTAATTACAAGAATGCCCCTGGTGGCAATTCATAATAATGAACAAATAACAAAAAAGAAAAAAAGGAACTAGCTGACAGCACCTAGGTTGACTAGGCTGACAGCATACTAATAGCAAACCAATAAATAAGTTACAAGACGAATATAGGGCCATGGCATACACCACATGTGACCTAATGTGGTTGAAAAATCTTTTGCAGGAAGTCGAGTTCTCAATAAGAAAGCCCATGAAACTATACTATGACAATCAAGCTGCAATTCACATTTCATCCAATCTAGTTTATCATAAGAGGACTAAACACATAGAGGCAGATTGCCATTTTGTAAGGGAAAAAGTCCTTACTGGCGTCATAAGTGCAGAGCATGTGAGAACAGGTGGTCAGTGGGCAGACTTGTTTACAAAAGGGTTGAATTTAGGAAGAGTAAATTATATATGTAACAAGCTGGGACTATATGATATATACTCTCCAGCTTGAGGAGGAGTGTTAGAGTCAGCTAAGGAAGTGTATTTCTATCTTTTTATCATAAGTTAAGATGTGCTTTGTTTGTTTAGTACTGTGTTAAATTGCATGTCCCATGCTTAAGTAGGGACATATTAGACATTGTATCTTGCATTGACAATATATATATATATGGTCAGCAAGGAGAGTCTTTTTGTCTTCTCAAAACGATAGTTCTCTTCTTCTTCTCTTCTTCTCTTCTTCTCTTCTTCTCTTCTTCTCTTCTTCATCTTCTCCCTTTCTCTTTTCTATATCTCTAAACCTGGTTCGACTGAGCTATCAACACAGCTCTAAACAAACCCCCAACTACCCCTGACTAGAATCCTAATTATGAAATGATAAAAATACCCCTGGACAAATTGACTACAAATTCTACCAAAACAGCTATTTTTTTATCAATAAACATAGAGTTTTTATCTTACCCAAAACAACCATTTGTGATACTACTACAAAAGCAAATAAGTTCTAAACATGTTTACATCATTTTTTCCTTTTTCTTTATTCTTTTTTTTTGGCTCATCAAAAACACATTAAAATAGTCATAGTGACCACCAATAAATGAAAACACTCCACAACCAACCCACAATCAGCAGCACAAGGGCGCCTCCCACAACCTCTAATTCCAAATAAATCTAAGTATACACCTTCAGCTGAGAATCATATTAAAAAAAAAAACTTCCAAAAATACGCTACATCACCTAGTTTTTTTTCAACCAAGGAAAAAATAAAAGAGGAAGAAAGACGTTATCGTTAATCAGTCCAACAAGAAAATACAGATCAATCACTTCTCTTCAGTTCCACAAACAAGAGAGGAATAGAAAAAATTAGAATAAGAAAGATGGGTCTATTCATTCTCCTACTCTGATACCATGATAATTACCCTGAAATTGTAGGAAAAAGTGAAAAGTAGAGGAGAAGAGACAAAAAGAATGAAGGCAAAAGTGAGAGAAGCAGCGCCCAATCCATATTTTATTAGACTGAATATAATGCAAGATGAAATGAACATATTACAACTGCATCATAAAAAGTACAATTACAATAGTTAAAATTTTACAAATATTAAAAAACTTTATTAAATTTAGACAAAATTGTAGAAAATTTCTTTCCAATGAAATTCTTGTAAGTTTGCAATTAAATGCATTGGGTAATAAGTATACTTATTTAAGTAGCTGGGTTCTATCTCATTTGATATGCATGGTTGTTTGTTGTGGTTTTTGATTCTTAAATGAGCATTCATCCATACATTTTTAGGGGCAATTACTTCGTACAGTGGAAAAATCTCAGCTGACAAGTGTGATAATGTGAGTGCAAGATCAAGAGGTATTTGAAAGTTCCGTAACATTTCAAATGAAGAAATGAGCAATGTGAAGAAATTCATCTTAAAAATTGTTTGCAAGAAAAATAAACAACGGTACAATTTTGGATGGACAACACTTTGTTTAAACATTAAATTTAGAAACAATGTGATGAAAAACTCCCTTTTATCCCCTAGGAAAACAAATGATGCAAAATGCAACACACATATAACATCTTGACATAATACAAACCTGCATCTTTGTATGATGGCCAGTAAAAGGAAGATCCAATGAAATACTGGTTCTCAATATATATGAAGTGTTGTGCTGATCTTATAGCTTTGACGTATGCAACATGTATGCTCTTGTCTATTTTCAAGTTTTTCCCACATATAAGATTCTGAAAAACAAAGGTAAACCAAAATATATCCAATGAATTCACCAAATGCAGGTTGATTGATCATAAATGATAAACCTAATAGCTAATAACAAAGTACCTTCATGGTGGAAATACACCTAATATATAAACTAAATGGACATGCACCTGATTGAGGAAAACATAAAATAAAAAGAAAATATTCAACTCCAAGGAGCAAAAGTAGGCTAGTAGCCACTGAATAGGCCAAGTCCAATGGTATCCAAGAAAAGAGAGGGAATTCAAAGTAAATATTCAACTCCAAAGAGCAGTAGTAGCCATTGAATAGACCAAGCCCAAGAGTATACCTGTGCCTCAGCTTCTTGAACAAGTTTAGGAAATCCCCTAACTGATCCTGAGTCAATAGATCGAAATACCTAATAAACAAAAGTATAAATCAATGATAATTCACTTGTGGAATTTAAGTAGAAAATAGTTCAAGATTTTTACAGAAATATCCTTTTTCAAACCTGCACATGCCAATTCTCAGGATCATCTTCAGTTGCCGCATGTATAGAATGATCACCATCAGCACCAACAGTTGGAGTAAGTATCCATGAAATGCGATCCAGTTTTATTAAGGCATCCTCATGCCAATTAGTAACATTTCTAATTTTGAAATCTCTCCATTTTGCAACTTTTCTCCATCTTTGTTCAAAATTTGTCATTATATCATATGCAGCAGGACCTTCAACTTTACAGTGTAAATCATGCCATGGTTGTCTTGGCCCCCGTGCACGAGACTACATAAATGGCACTGTCAAAATTTAAGATCTTGAAGAATGTACACATTTAATGATACAAAGGGAAAATAATACACTGACTAAGATAAGGAAAACATGATAAAAAGAATAAGCCCAAATGCAAGACAACAATGAGAAATAAAAGTTGAAAAGAAAATTTTGATCATTTATTGTTAAGTCATTAATTTTTCTGGACTGGGAGTAGGTTATTAAGGTACTCCCAATCACAGATTAAAAGGGGGG